CCTCCCAAAGGCGCGGGATTACAGGCTGAGCCACCGAGCCCGGCTCTAGTTCTTATTTTTTAATGGTAGATCTGAAGTATTACAGATGCAATATTATGATGTCAGTTTTCTTCAAAATAATATGGGACTGGGTGGGAACTGGATGGTATGAAACAAGTTGGTTAGGTACTGATAATCACTGAAGTTAATGGGTATAAAAGTACATTACACTAGTCTCTCTACTTTTGCATATGTTTGAAGGTTTACATTCTCAAAAGTTTAATAAAAAAGAATGAAGGTGAAATAAAGACATTTTCAGAAAAACAAAAATGGAAAAAAATCCGTTACCAATTGAGTCACACTAAAATATATTTTTAGCCGGGCTCGGTGGCTCAGCCTGTAATCCCGCGCCTTTGGGAGGCTGAGGTGAGTGGATTGCCTGAGCCCGCGGGTTCGAGACCCGCCTGGGGCAGCGAGACCTCATCTCTACAATAAATCAAAAAAAAAAAATTAGCCGGGCGTGGTAGCGCATGCCTGTAATTCCGGCTACTCAGAAGGTTGAGGAGGAAGGATTGCCGGAGCCCAGCAGGTCGAGGCTGCGGTGGCCAGAAGCGGCCACTGCACTCCAGTCTGGGCGACAGAGTGAGACTCGAACTCAAAAAAAAAACAAACAAAAAAACAAAAGAAAATTGTAAATGTGTGTATAAACCTAAATTGATACCAACTATATGAGATAAGTATAGTGTCTTGTTAGTTTTAAAATACATGTGAAATTAAGATGTATAATAGCAATGACATAGAGGCCAAGAGAGAATAATGGGAGTGAAAGTGTTACAAGGTTTTTGCGTTGTCCTGGGAGAAGGTAAATTCCATTAGATTTTAATAAGAGTAGCCAGGTGTGGTGGCTCACACCTGTAATCTCAGCACTTTGGGAGGCGGAGGTGAGAGGACCAGCTTTTGCAACATAGCGAGATCTCATTTCTTCAACAAAATTAAAAAAAAAAAAAATTAGCTGGGTGTGGTGACGCATGCTTGAGGTTCCAGCTATTTGAAAGACTGAATTGTCCCACGCCTTGGGAGGCTGAGGTGAGTGGATTGCCTGAGCCCGCGGGTTCGAGACCCACCTGGCCAACTTGGCGAGACCTCATCTCTACAATAAATCAAAAATTAGCCAGGTGTGGTAGTGTACACCTGTAGTTCCAGCTACTTGGAAGGCTGAGGTGGAAAGATCGTCGGAGGTCCAGCAGGTCGATGCTGGGGTGGCTGTGAGTGTGCCACTGCACTCCAGCCTGGGTGACGAAGTAAGACTCCAACTGAAAACAAAAAACAAAAACAAAAATGAAAAAGAAAGAAAGGAGAGAAAAAGGAACACAAAGCATAGGAGACAAATAGAAAGTACTTAATGGCCAGGCGTGGTGGCTCAAGCCTGCAACCCCAGCACTTTGGGAGGCAGAGGTGAGAGGATTGCCTGAGGTCAGGTTCAAGAACAGTCTGAGCAACATGGCGAGACCTCGTCTCTACAATAAATCAAAAAATTAGCCGGGCGTTGGTGCATGCCTGTGGTTCCAGTTACCTGGAAGGCTGAGGCGGAAGGATCACCTGAACCCAGCAGGTCAAGGCTGTGGTGGCCGTGAGCAGCAGGCCACTGCACTCCAGCCTGGATGACAGAGTGAGACGCCAACTCAAACAAAAAAAAGTACTTAATAAAATTATAGATTTAGAGTGAACTAATCAATCTTACAGTGAATGTAAATGGAAAAAAAATCCTCCAGTTAAAATACAAGGATCATTAAACTGAGTTTAAAAAGCAAACAGCAGAGCGCAGCGGGTCAAGGGGGAGCTGCGGGTGGGTCGAGGGACGGGTCTGGGCCGCGCTCGTAGTTGGCACCGGGTCACACACCCATTCGAGCGGCAGGACGCCCTTGTTCCAGCAGTTCTCGCTGACCGCGCCAGCTGCCGCTTCTGCGATCCCGGTACCCTGGGCTCATCAGCAAACGCCCTGGCGTCCGTCCTCACCATGTCTAGCCTTTGGGACCGCTTCTCATCGTCCTCCTCCTCTTCGTCCTCCTCCTTGTCCCGAGCTCCCACCCCAGAGCGGCCGCCGCGCTCCGCCCGGGGCTCGGGGGCCCGAGAGGAGGGACTTGACCGCGCTGCGCGAGTCTGGAGAGCTCGGACTGCGAGGCCCTGGCCGGGAGCAGCAGTGGCTTCGGGCCGGAGGAAGACTCGGCATACTAGGATGGGGTGTCGCTGCCCGACTTCCAGCTGCTCACCGAGGATGAGCCCCTGTGTGGCAACCTGATGCCGCGGCTGCAGGAGAGCCTGGTCCAGGCAGCGCGCGCTCGCGGCGCCCTGCGCGCCTGCTGATGCCCGGCCCGCTGGTGAGCCAGGTGGGCAAGGAAGCGCTGCGCCCGGCTTACAGCGAGCCGTGCGGCCTGCGGGGGGCGCTGCTGGACGTCTGCGCGGAGCAAGGCAAGGGCTGCCTTGGACCCCAGCCTGGTGCCCCCCTTCCAGCGGACCCTCGTGCTGCGCCTGGACTCATGCCTCTGGCCCAAGATCCAGGGGCTGTTTAGTTGGGCCAACTCTCCCTCCCCGCTGGCTTCAGCCAGTCCCTGACGCTGAGCGCTGGCTTCCGAGTCATCAAGAAGAAGCTGTACAGTTCTGAGCAGCAGCTCACTGAGGCGTGTTGAACTTCAGCCTGGGGGCCCACACTGCCCCCTTCCACGGCAGAGACAACTGAACTTTTGGGGTGGAGACCAGCAGGCCGGGGCTGAGGGCCTGATGCCTGCCGTTAGAAAACTGACCACAGCCACTTGAGAGAGGAAAGTGGAGGTGTTTTCCAGGAAGCACACCGAGTTGTGTGCAAGTGGCTCTGTGTTGGGGACGCATGGCCCTCAGTACTGTAGCACGAAACAAAGGCTGAGGCCAACCAGGCTTCTGGCTGGATGTGTACCTTATTTTTATTACTGACAGTTAAGACAACAGGGGTGTGACAGTTAGGAGAGTACCCTCTGCCAGGGGTGAAGGGGTGTGTGTAGCAGCCAGAGGGAGGGGGGTGGGTCATGGAGGTGGTTTTTCCTGGTCTGAAGGGACCAAGCAAGTTTGTTGTCTGTTTCTGTATCTCTTGTTTTTCTGATCGGAGCTTCACTACTGACCTGTTCTAGGCAGCTATTTTACAGATGCATGAATGTAAGAGTAGGAAGGGGTGGGTGTTGGGATCATTTGGGATCTTTGACACTTGAAAACATACACCTGGGAGCTGCATTCAACCCAGCCCCCTGCTCATACTGCAGAGTTGAGCTATGAGTTCAGGGGACAGATGGGAGTGGGGGCTGGAACCCCTCCCCCAGAGGAGTGCCATCTGGGTCTTCCATGTAGAACTGTATACATGAAGATACTCACTGCTCATGAATACACTTGATGTTCAATATTAGGACCTATGAAATATATATATATTTTTTTGAGTTGGAGTCTCACTCTGTCGCCCAGACTGGAGTGCAGT